TCAAGAGAAAGTATATAGAAGGTACACACCACAGGGTACCCTGTGGTTTTACCTGTAGGACCAGAGAGATTACATGAGGAAGTGGGATGGAAAACTGTCTTGGTTTGAAAGACAAGTGTCTGCTAAAGAAGGTGGGAACCTCCCTTGGAATGGAAAATATGACCTCCTCCCTCTTATTATAACTTTGAAATTATGGAGCTTTCAGGCAAAGATATGGGAAAAGGAATAACAGTTCTTTAGTAGTATGTATATATATAACAAGGTAAACAACAACAATGACAGCAACAACAAACAAAAAAACCCCAGAAACCTGATAACAGCCTCCTCTCAGCTGTCAAGCACTTTCCATTTTGGTCTAGTTATGGTCACAACTGGCAGGAGTGGTGCAATGATTCCCCTGCAACTGTAGGGGTGCGCTGTGGTGAGAGGTCAGCCACACCTCTCCACGTGGTAATGGCGGGAAAGCTGGCAAGAGAGATAGTAAAGGTGCTTCCATTACAAACCCACAGGGCCAGCTAGTCTCAGTGCCCATCTGGATAGTAAAATGGACTGTAGCAGGAACCTTGGAGCAGTGGTTGGAACAGCAGAGGTGGACATACCTGTCGCAGACATTTTTTCATAGAAATCCTTTCTTTGGGATTTGTTCATCTTCTGGGAAGCTGAGGCCCCAGAAGAAGAATGTAAACAATTGTTATCGGCTGGTGTGGAATGTAACAGGTGCAGCGGTGATTTGGCTTCTGTGAGTGTTTGGATTTGCTGACCACTCACAGGAGAGTTTTGTCCTTGCTTTCTGCTGGACACAGAACTTTGTTATTCATTCTTTCCTATGCTATTCTTAGCTTAGCAGCCTCTGCAACTTCTCTCCTTATTCTTTTTAGTATAGTTATAATGTATTATATATCATATATCAATAAATCCAGCCTTCTGATCATGAAACAAGATTCTCGTCCTTCTCTCACCCCGGAGACCTCATCAGGTCACTGTAATATTTGGTGACCCCTCGTGTCAGAGCAAAATTAATTTGATAAGACCAGAGGAGCAAATTGCTGCACTGGGTAAAATCCTGTATGTGTAGCATGTGATGGTTGCTTTGAAGTGACCACAGAAGTGGATTCAAGCTAGGAGCTGAAGAACTGAAGATCCTGATTTGGACAGAGTTCACAGCCAAGGCTGACCACAAGCGAACCTTCTTCTGAAAACCTTCAGGAAAGATGGTAGACAAGAGCAGCATAACCATGGAGCTGGCCAGAGCAAGCTGGACCCTTTCAAAAGGTACTGTTGATTTTTCTGTCCCTGAGGGTTCAGCCGTGAGAAAATTGTGGCTGTTTATATGGGGGACACACCCCTTGGAGAACGTGGTTCGTTTTTCTCCTTCAGAGGAGAAACTTATTGCCCGCTGGCAAGAATGGTGTAGAGAAGATGGGTTTTTTCTGTCAGCAACAGATCTCTATGAGTTTTTTTGATGGGCAAAGCTTTTTGGGTTCTTTACTAATGTCCTATACGCTTTGGATGTTTTTGTCTGGGAATGCATGGATTCCATTTTCCAATTCGTTTGGGGTCAGGGGTGCAACTTCCCTCCCGTCTACCCAGCATTTAGAAAGCTCTTCCCAGTTTTGAAATGGAGAGCAGCTGTTTTTCCATGGATTTCTAACTGCTATGGGCAGGCCCCATTTCCACCGTCCCCAGCAGGAGAAGACCCAGTGGGGGATGAGTTGGGGCTTCCCAGCCCCCCCTGCTTCGCAGCGGGGGGGGGGGGGTGAAACTGCGCCACACGAAGAAGTTTTTTTACTCTTTCTCTGGAGCCTGCGCAGATGGAACTGTCTCTTCCCCCCCCTTCTCCCCCACAGGGGGGATGGGAGTGGACGGGCCTGCCACAGCCGGCCTCTCGGACCCCGCCCCGCTCAGAGATGGGGGTGGCACCGGTCCCTAAGGCCCCCCCGCCTCTGCTAGCGCCGCGTCTGCCTCCAAGACCCGCCTCGCCGGCACGGCCACCTCTCCGCGCGATCCCGTCTCCGCCTCTCCAGGTGGTCCTGCCCGCGGCTTCACCGGCTTCCCAGCCTGCGTCTGAGAATGCAGAAACAGCACTTCCTGTGGCTCCTGAGTTGCTAGGCGATGATGACGCGTCTCCAGCTTCCGGCTCAGCGGAGGAGTTGTTCTCTCCAGCCCCTTCGGCCCCCCCGCTGATTCCACCGGGCCCCCTGCCGCCTCAAGCCGAGACAGTCCCTGTTCAGGATGGTGCTGGAGACAGCGACAAACCCGCAGGACCCTCGGAGCGGCCCACGGCCGCTCCTATATCCAGCGTGATTCCCTCCCTGGTTCCAGACCCCCCGCTGCTTCCACCGGCTGCCCCAGCAGTTCTGCTGCTATCAGAGACTCTGTCCTCCATGTCGGCGTCAGAGACTGCCCTGGAACCGGTGGCTTGTTTGAGCTCGGACCATCCCGGGCCGGTTGCCTCTGTAGCAGCGGCCCCGGTGGCTGGCCTCCCCTTCCATGGAGCAGGGGGTGCCCGCCAGCTGACTGTGGGGGCAGTGCGTCTGCCTGCGTTCAAGATCAGCATTCTCCGTGGGTTGGGGGGTGTTTTTTCGGGGATTGTCCCATGGAGGCTGCCATCTCTGCCGCCTCTCTTGCGCCCTAGTGGCATGGGGCAGGTGCATCCCGAGAGTTCTGCCTTTGGTCCCCAGCCCAGTGGGGATGGTGCCATGGGGCGGATGGAAGATACACCTGATGCATTTGCAATGCAGGGGAAGAGGGCACAGATGGAGGAGACCATAGCTGGTTTGCTGTGGGAAACATCTCCAGACCCCAGATGGGATTTCTGGGGAAGGCTTCTATTTCCCTGCTGCTGGCACGCCTCAGTGGTTTTGGGAAAAGGAAGCGTCTCACCACCCGTGCTGCCATTGTACTGGCAGCAGGGTGCAGGCCTGTGGGAATGCAGACCCTGCCTCATGGGTTTGGGCCAGAGCCATCACTTGGCCTCCTGATGTTTCTGGGAGTTGTGGTTTCTCCTACCGGTCCTGGCCCCCCTTTGTGGGCCAGTTTTGGGGTTCCTGGTCCATCATGAGCCAGGGCCCCCAGGGTCTTTTCCTTCTCTGGCACTGCTCTCCTCGGCTGCTGCTCTTTTCCTTTTCTAAAAAAAAAAAAAAAAAAAAAAAAAAAAATGAAAATAGCGGGCAGCAGCTCTGAAGCATTGAAGGGCCAGAAAAGGACATTCTAAAAGTTGTTCAAATTGTTTGAAATTGTTGTAAGACCGTCAATGGTTTGTGATAACTATTGATGGGACTTTTGCAGAAGTCTGTTTCAGGACCAAAAAGGATTCTCAGATATTACAAGAGAAACAACTTCAGCTCATGGACTGTTCCTGAAACTCAGCTGCTTGGACTTGAATTCTCTTTGCATTGTTATTTGCATTTTCTTAGATTGTAGGATTGTTTTAGTGATTTGTTAGTATTGTATATTTTACAGGTGAAGAAATTTCCCGTTCATTTCACATCAGCATTTTTCTTTTTAATTTATACAATTTAGAAAGGTGAGATGTCGCAGACATTTTTTCATAGAAATCCTTTCTTTGGGATTTGTTAATCTTCTGGGAAGCTGAGGCCCCAGAAGAAGAATGTAAACAATTGTTATCGGCTGGTGTGGAATATAACAGGTGCAGCGGTGATTTGGCTTCTGTGAGTGTTTGGATTTGCTGACCACTCACAGGAGAGTTTTGTCCTTGCTTTCTGCTGGACACAGAACTTTGTTATTCATTCTTTCCTATGCTATTCTTAGCTTAGCAGCCTCTGCAACTTCTCTCCTTATTCTTTTTAGTATAGTTATAATGTATTATATATCATATATCAATAAATCCAGCCTTCTGATCATGAAACAAGATTCTCGTCCTTCTCTCACCCCGGAGACCTCATCAGGTTGCTGTAATACATATCCAAGGTGACAAACACAATGTAGCAGAAACTCTGCAGCCATTGCTAAAGCTGCGGGGTGTCCCAGCAGGCAGGGGGTGTTATAGTGCAGCAAAAAAGCCCGAAGCAGTGGCAAAAAACAGCACAGCTGTGTGCAGCAGCCAGGTTTCTGCAAGCAGCAGCTGCGCACAGCCATGAGATGTGCGCTCAGGAAGGAGGAGGGGTTCAGGGTCCCAGGTTTTCCCCTGAGGCACCTGAGTCGATGGTGTGAAAAACGCCAATCACTTGTTTTTAATTTTTTAAAAGATTAATAGGAATAAAATGGTTATACAGATAGTAATATAATTGGAGTAATAAAAATTTGGACAACAGTTAGTGAAATAAACTGGGCAGGAGACTTTTTCTCCTTTTAATGCCTTTACTAAAAGTTATCAGCGCAGGATTGGGCAGCTCGGACGGGTCTGCAGTTTCCCATTGTCTCTCCCAGGACGAGGAGGAGGAGGAGGAGGATATTCACAGATTTTTCCAGTAGGGGCAGAGCTGGGGGTCCGGGCCTCGTGGGAGCCTTTATGGCGTGGTGACCCCTTCCGATGTTACTCCTGCTGCATCTCTCGCTCCCGGCGTCGGTACGACTCCCATGCTAAGGGTGAGAGGGACTTCAAAGGTGTTCAGCATCTCTGCAGGCTCAGCACTCCATTCCTGACATCCAGACATCACTCCAATCTCTCAACTCTTAGTTGGCTCGTTGTTTTGGTGTCTCTTTTAGCAAGCTAGAAGCAGTAGCTTCTCATGGCATGCTGGTCCTGGAGTTATTTTGCATATCCCTCCCCCCCCCAAGTCTCTTCTCCTCACTGTTCCGGAGGTCCCCACCCTTTACTGTCCCAGAAAAGGGCCATTAACTCGGCCCCAGCTAGGGCTTTTACTGATACAAAAACAACTATTAACAACAACGACCCGTAATTACTATAACACACAAGCAGCACCCCAGCAGCAACAGTGGTAACCTTTTTCTCACAGAAAAAAAACGACTGAATTTTTGTTCATAACAATCCCTCCTCTTTTTCTTTGATCGAGCTTAAATTTTAAGCTCGCATCAACTTACAATTTTTTGACTCATGAGCTTCATATTTAATTTTTTGAATTTACTATAAATTTCTTGAGCAATTTGGTAATCACGGTTACTTAACCTTGTTACTTTCTTTGGTTTCTTTAGGTTGGTCTGCACAGCAAATACTATTTCAATGAAACAGATAAATGAGCGTAGTAAAAAGAGAAATCCTCCAAGTATACACACAGTGAGAAAAACTAGTTTTTCCCATACATCCTTTTTGAAAATCTAAAGGTTCTCCCACCAACTGGAATCAAATGAAGGAGTTTGATCTTGATTATTTACACGTGCTAATTTTTTTATTTCGTTTGAAATGTTTCTAATAATTGCATTCTTTTTTTTAATACTGCCTGGAGCCTGATGACTTTCTTTAACATAGATATTGGGGTCTGAACTTGGCTCTTACAATTTTGGATCCTCGCAATTTCTATTGCACTTAGCTTCTTCTGTTTGGTTTCCCGCAAATCATTGTATAGAGGAACTCCTAAACTTGATCCAGTTTCTTTGGGTTATAAGAAGAAAGTTGGTTTTATCATTCTAGCGGTGCAGCTGCCAGACAAGTCTCCTGACAATTTGGTGTGTGCTGTGGTATCAGAGATCAAACCTAGGGGTTTAGAGCTCCCCTGAAATGTGTTTTCAGCTTCTGTTGGGCATTCCCAATATTTACACAGTTCTTTCATTTTCCAAAAGGGGTTTATCTCTTTTTCAATATACTCATAACATTCATAAACTTCATGGTGAGTACACTTGTCTCTTTCTTTCTTCTCAACAGACTCTAATTTGTTTGGATCTCTTGGGATCCACTGGGTAGCTGAATACTTCACTGCTAAATAATTGTTACAAACCATTTTTCTTACCATTTTTACCATTTCTTCTCTTTTTACTAGATCTACTGAGCTTGTTTCAGCAGCATCACATTTAAAGCACAACCAGGCTTCCCCTATAGGGTACTCTCCTAGGAGTGGCTGCCTAAAAGTGGCAATATTGTGTGCTATCCAATACATTCTCCTATTTTTCTGATAAAGGACCAATTGGGACAGGTTAACACAATTAGGGTTAGAGTTGATGTGGTCTCTAGACCAGGAGCTCACTTCTTCCTCCTCATAGAGGGGTTGGTAGCACTCACTGCACAGCTCAGCTGGGCTTCCCAGAGCACCGCCAGCAATCAGAGCCATCATTACTACCCTTCCCAAGAGTCCGGTATGGGTCATCTTGCACAGCCTGCCCACTCGGCCTTGCCTCTTGGGGAATTTTACTGAGAAGAAGCTTCCAAGCTCTTTAGAGTCCCTTCTACGCGCTTCTCTGGTTAAACCTCTCTTGGTCTATTCTTTACCAATTTTGGTTTCTCCTAGGGGAGTGCTCTGTAGAGGATAAACCTGGAGTCTTTAGAATTAAATTGGGGAACTTAACCAGAATTACTTATTTACAGTCTTAAACTTTTTACCGACATAGTTTACACAGAACTGTCTTGAAACATTTTAAGCAATGTTAGAACTCTGATACCAATTATTTTCCCATACAGTTCAGTCTTTTTGACTCTTCCTTCTGAGAGTCAACTTTAAATCACAGTATACTCAGGTGAATTAACTTGTGAAGTAGATGAATCTTTATCCAGTGCCCAGAGGTGAGAGTGGTGTGGACTCTGGCCCAATGCCAGAGGGAAAAACTGGGACTCTGGCCCAATGCCAGAGGGAGAATGGGGTGGAGTTCGGTCCAGTGCCAGAGGGAGAACGGGGTGGAGTCCGGTCCAATGCAAGAATGCCAGAGGGAAAAAAAGTGATGTTGAATCCTGGTCCAATGCCAGGGGGTGAGAGTGATGTGGGTCCAAACTTTTTCTTTTGGTCTACACAGTGGAATTAGTAATGAAGAGTACCTGAAACAGGCTTTCAAACACAGGCATTAATGGTCTGCTATTTTATGATTTTATCAAAACTCAGTTTCTCTGTTTAATGTTATTGGTTAATTTCTCTTTTCCATAGCTTGCATGTTTCTCTCATCAACTTCTGCATACTCTGTATTTTGCAAGGAGTTGTATTTCTGTTAGCTAACTTAACTCCCAAAGTGCTTTTATTCTCCTCTTTTTCTGTGTATTTAATTTACTGGTTTTTTGTTCTATTTTCAAGATCTTATCTATCTCTTGCTTCTGTTTCTTACTTTCACTTACAGCTTAAATACTACTTTTCTTTCAACCTCTTACACTTAAAATTATTTTTTTTTCTCACACCATTCTTCTACATGTACACTTCCCTCCAAGGAGATGTGGTAAAACTTGTAATGCACAATCTACATTACCTCTATTCTAATTCGTCTATGTTCACTCTCTTTTATTTCTCATTCACTTTCACACATTCCTTCACACCCTCAAGACACAAACTGGATCATTATTGCTAGAAAATCACGGGTCCCTGTGGCCCCCCTCACCTTGGCGTTGGCCCACAGGTCTCAGCATCTCTGGGCCTCTTGGAAGGGCCCTGACTCTGGTTGCCTCTGGTGCTCATTCACCTGTGAGGCTGTCTGCGTGTCACTCACGCTCTTACAGCTACGGCTCCCTCACACATCTGGGGAGCATTAGTGTGGTTTGCAGGTCACACACACTCTTTGGCCACAGCCCCCACCTGCCCGGGGGACACAAGCCTGGTTTGCAGGTCACACACACTCTTTCCACTGTCCCCTTCCCACCTGCCCAGGAAGTTGAGGCTGACTTTGCTTGTGACTTACTCTCACACACACAACAAGACAAAAATAAGGTACCTTTTATTTTCACATTACTTATTACAAGTTTAGTGTTACTGGCCAGTTTTGGTGCTATTGGATATCCTTTCTACCTAGCTGTTTTTGTCTAAATTCAGATGTTTTTTCACTATACTCTCTGGTACTTTGTTGAGACAGGACTTATCTGTTCCTGTATCTACTCAAAAATTCTGGTTCTTCATTTAGGGGTCCCACCTCAAAGTTTATCAAGGGCACTTCTAGATGTTGCATAGGGTCCCCTATAGTAAAAAGCCCTTGACCCTCTAATCGTCACCTTTAAGTATCTTCCCTAAATTATCTTGTTCCCTGGCTAATACCTCATCAAGACTGAGCTTTCTAAAAAACCTCCTGACGTGTCTTGCCTTTCCACAGTAATAGCAATGTCGTTCTCTCAAAGGGACTTGAGGTCTCTCCATCCCTCTTGTACCTGAAAATACTGGCCTATCCTTGCCTCCTCCTGGTGGTGGACCTGCCCACCCCACACTTTCTCTAGCTACTGCAACCATGATCCTAGTTTTGGCCTTTGCTTTTTCTTCGTCCCTCCTTACATGCACTTTCAATGCTTCTCTTAATAACTCATTGATATCCTTCTCTTGCCAATCTTCAATCTTTTCCAATTATCTCCGTATATCAGGCCAAGATTTGGTAACAAATTGGACTTTTAGTAGCACTTGACCTTCTAGGGTGTCTGGGTCTATTCTGGAGTACAACTGGAAGTTCCGCTTTAGGTGGTTAAGCCAGGCAGCAGGAGCTTCATCCTTCTCATGTGCACCCTCAAATGCCAATTGGGTGTTAGTTCCTTTAGGAACTGACTCTTTGATCCACTGTATTATCAAAGACCTATATTCCATCATGGCCTTCCTCCCCTCCTCCTGGTTAGGGTTCCAGCTGAGATCCGTTAGTGGCAATTTATGTTCACCTCTTGGTACCTGGGGTCCTGGATGGTTATTTTTCTCCCAAAATCTTATGCCAGCTGCCCTAATCATCTGGATTTCTTCTGGGGAAAATAATATACTCAGGATGGAATTTATCTTCCCCCAAGTGTAGATATTTGGACCTAGGAATTGATCCACTTGGTTGGCTATGCCCACTGGGTCCTCGACTAAATGCCCCAACGCTTTCTTGAATCCTCTCACCTCAGAAGCAGTTAGGGGAGTATTCACAAAGCCAACACCTCCCACTACTCTTCCCATAGGAACTTCTCTGAGGGGAAAGAGTCTCTCTGCCTTGGAGGTCTTGGATCTGGTACTAAAGTACGGCCCATCTTCAGATGCCAAACTAGTTTGAGGGATATCTGGGTTACTCTGAACTTCCTGCACATCATCAGGTGTATTTGGTGACAGCTGTTTACTGGGCAAGGAGGCATTTGTGTCCCAACTAGGAGGAGGCAAAGGGACAGCAATAGGAGGGGGAGAAGAGCCTGAGTGGATATTAAGTGGAGCTGGAGAAGGGATGGAGAATGCACCAGGTGGAGTAGGCACTTGTGGTGATGCAGAAGGAACTGGAGGAGCTGAAGGGGGTGGTGAGGGAGTGGTTACTGGAGGAGATACTGGGTTTATCATAGGGGAAGCTGAAGAGGTAGAAGGAGGAGTTTGAGCAGGTGGTAATGAGATGGCAGCCGGGGGAAGAACCGGACCTGCCATTTGAGGTGCTTGAAGAAGAGGATTATAAAGTGGAGGGGCAGAAGGAGGCAAATAATCCAGGGGGTCCCATCTTTTACTAGTCCTATCATCCCCTCCTTCATTTCCCTCTTTCTTCCTCTGTACCTTACAAATTTGCACCCCTTCATCCCCAATAGCGTTCTTTAACCAGCAAGATACATACAGTAATTGCTCAGGATCGGTATCTCCTCGAGCTGTCAAATAATTATTTAATAGTTGGCACATCCACTTATCCTTTGTCCCACACCAAGGCCATCCTCCTTGGACCTCTAATTCCGGCCAGACTTCTACACAATAGTGGATCATTTTCACTTTATCTAATCCCTCTGTGGCCTCTATAGAATCCCATTTTACTAACAGTTCTCCTAAGGGACCATTGGGAGGTATATTCCTCAGTCTCTTTCCGGTCTTTTTACTACTACACCCTCCCATTTTTCAGGTCTCAACAGTAAAAAATCCCAAAGGTGCCTTTACTGACAGGTAATTTCAAGAAAAATCTTGTTTGAGGAGCTTCAGCCTCCTCCACCAAACTTCAAATTTTTGCCTGATTCTCCGGACTTTATACTGAAACAACTGCCCAATCTCTTGATTGCCCAACTT